ACACTCACACTCACACACACTCACACACACTCACACACACACTCACACATACTCACTCACACACACTCACACACACACACATTTCTTCATAATCCACCTTCAGTATTTTTCCTTCTTTCTTCATCAGGATTTCTCTGCTTCTTTCCCAACTCCAGGATAATGACATCTTTTTCCATGTGTCCAAATCTGGGCATTTGAATTCAATATTGCCTTGTGTCAACCACAGTTAAAATTTTCATAAGATACTTAAATTTTTATGAGAAGAAAGTCGAGAACTGTTACTCTTAGCCAAAGACCTGCCATTTGCTCTCTTTGATCACTGAGTTCCAGGACAAAGAAGCCGGGCTGCAAGCAACTATTCCGAGGTGAGGTACGAGCCACGCAATCCCCACTGAGCACGCACAGCCACTGCACTCGGCATCCGTGCCTAGAGTTGAGCTTTCCACATGGCTTAGGGATATAAGATGGACAGGGATGACTTTTAAGCTATGAAATAGTAAGGGGATTCTTTTCAATCTGCTTTACAAAATTACATGTTAATTAAGTTTTGCTAAAATGGTTTCTAGAGCATAATAACTGTTCATGTTACTTGCAATGCTGGAGATCAAGCCCAGAACTCTGGGTGTGGTCAGCCAAGCTTTCCCTCAGAGCTACATTCCCCAATCCTAAAATCACCTTAAATTCTCTACTTTGTTAATTAGCCCTCTGCGACTTTAAGGCAAAATAATATCTTCTTTCTGTTGCTTTTGGTCATGGTATTTTACCACAGGACCAGAAAAGCAAGAGATACAGAAGCCTTCTCAGACCTGAGTCACTCCTTACATAGGAAGATTTCCATAACAAGGTGACTTGTTCATCTTCCAATAAGAACAAATACATACTATAAGATGTCACCTGGTTCACGGACATGGTTCAGCGAGCAAAGGAGCTTGCCACCAAAGCCGATGATGACCTGAGTAAGATCCCTGGAGCTCACATAGTAGAAGGAGAGAACTGGCTACTACAAACTGTCCTCTGACCACCACACACATGTAGTGATACAAACACCACCACCCCTACACATACAGCATAAACAAATAGATGTAATATCAAATGTTAGGTAAAAATACATTTTCACCGTTTAAACTATAGAGAATGTCTCATGCTATTTCTCTTCAAACTCCATATTATCTCATCTCACCCTCAAGCCAGCACTGTAGTTAGGAAAGCATGTCTCAATGAAGGCATCCGAGAGGAACTGAGCTCCCGAGAACCACAAAGCTGGTGGTGAGTGACACAGTAGCAGTTCTGAACACTCTGGTCAAAGGTCTCCATCCCTTATACTCACAAAGGATTGTGTTCAGCCATGAAAACGGGCGAAGTTGTGCCATTTACAGGAAAATAGATTCAATTAGAGTCGATCATATTAAGTGAGCTAAGCGATCTCAGAAAGATAGATGTCACATGTTCTCTGTCATGTGCCTATGGCTTCTAGACTCTACAAGTCACACATGTGTAGATTTTATGAATGTCGAAATAAAATTGTCTTGGTAACGAAGGGGCTACGGGTGGAATAAGAAATGAGAGGGTGGTGAGGTGTGGTTTGGGGGATAATGTGGGCAGTATAAACTTGTATGAAAATGGTCTTAGGCACAGCTATATAATGAAAATCATTTAAACTTTCTTATTCCTTAAACCATGATACTGTTAGTTTGTCGGCAATGAGTACATATTGGAGCTGGAGAGGTGGATCCATGGTTGAGAACAAGTACTGCTCTACCAGAAAACTCAAATCAGGCTCCCAACACCCATGTCGGAAAGGCTCACAATCAACCACATGTAAGTCCTAGAGAATCCAACAGGTACATCATATAATTTTGTCTTGAATTTTTAAAATGACCTGTGCTAACTGGGCCTGATTTGCACATCTGAAATCCCAGCACTAGACAGGAGGTAGGATGAGTAGAAGACCATCCTCGGTTGCATCCTCAGTAATGAGTTCAAGGCCAGCCTGAGCTGCGTGAAACACTGTCTCAAAAATGAAGAACAACAGCAACGAAAAGTGACCTTTGCTTGGAAGTGTCTCTTAAACGATATCTGCAAGTAAACAGAATAAAACAGATCCTGTGACCGTACTTTAACACTAGGGTAGGCTGCACTGATGTCAAAGCTTATCACTACCCACCCGGAGAGATAATGTCTTTCCCAAGGCACTAGGGCAATAAAGATTTACCTCAGCCATGCTGTGGGGCCTGTAAATCCTCTGAGAAAGCAGTTTCTCCCTTGTAGCATGTGCAACTGGGATTAGGAGCAAGCAGGCAAGAATCCTAGGCAGGGGACAAGTTCAGGGGTTAGTGTTCTCAGCCTTGGCTGTGAGCTCTGGGCAGTGCTGGAGAAGAGCCTTGAGCTTTTCCAGAAAGCCATGCATGGAATTTGTTGAGACACAGATGACCCAATTGAGGTAGAGAAGAGAGACAGAGGTTATGGGGTCAACTAGGAAACTGGCAAGACTCCAGTCCAAGGTTCCAGGGACACCTGGCACACTAAAACCGGCATGGAATCTTAAAACTTCACAGACTGGGATAGGGACCCTCCTTCCTCAGTGTGTTCACCACCAGCAGGACTTTAAACAAGTTGCCCTCTTCGTGTGTTGATAAGCTGCCTAAACCGCGTCAGTTGTCTAGCTGTAAAATGAGACAGCGCCTCCCAGGGTTCCTGGGGATTAACTGCACTCACCAAGGAAAGTTGGTCAGATGATGGGCCCCACAAAAAACGTTGGCTGTCTGCATGGGTTTCTGCCTCCTTGAGTTCCAACTCCCTCATTTGGGAAATGGGGAAAACAGAACACTGTTGTGAGGCTGTCTTCATGTACACCTATATTATATGTGCAGATATACATATATATTAGTTTTAATTATGTGAATGCATGTGTTGTCTCTGTGTGGTGATGAGTACAGGTGTCCACTGTGGACAGGAGTATCAGATCCACCTAGAACTGGAATTATAGGCAGCCATATTTTATCCAGTGTGAGTGCTGAAAGCCAGACTTGGGTCTGCATGAGCAAGACACACTCCTAACCTGTGAACCATCTCTCCAGGCCCTGAAATACTCCAGCCTATAGGAAATGCATGTCATCGTGATGGCTGTGCCTTGCATCATTTGGGGTCTGGCCAGCACATCACAATCTCTCATATTACATGAAAAACAGGGCACTGGGTTGCTCTCCACATACAGAATGACAACACATAGGAAAAGCCTGGGATTTAACCCCTTCATTGCCTAAGCAGCAGAAGACACTCTGCTCAGACAAAGGAAGTAAATCACTGGTATGAACTTAGGTTAGAAATGCCCTTCACGGTTACACTCTGGCCCTGGACACATGGGGAAGGGCCCAGGATCAGCATAGGAAGACTTGGTGGACTTTGCTGAGCTCCCGTTGAGGGCCCTACCCTGCCTGGGGAGTAGTGGGTGGATGGGGGTGGGGGGGTGGGCTGGGGGGGGGGGAGAAAGTTTGGAACAAATAAAATAGAAAAAAAAATAGTACGAACAATCCTTGTGCTGTAAGTTCAAATTGTAGGGAGGGGACGAAGACAGTAAAAATTAAAGGATTCGTGCTGTAAACTCGTGGGACACTGTTAGGTAAGTCAGATCTTAAAGAGAGAGATAAATTGTAAAAAGAAAACCCGAAAATCAAATAAATGGCCCCCACAGCCCAAGCTGTAGAAAACCAAGGAGAACTGAACTGCTCTGACTTCGGGGGTCCACCCCAAGCAGTGTGGCATGGGGATGGTTCCTGGAGCAACGGCAAAAAAACAGGGCAGAAATATGCAAGTAAAAGACATTTTTTGGTGTGGTTTCCTCACAGAGTTATTAAATGGAAACACTTA